TGTTGAAGCAGGTGTGGCCTTGTTAAGGTAGGTGTGGCTTTGTTGAAGTGGGTGTGGCTTTGTTGAAATAGGTGTGGCAAAGTAGTTGTGGCCTTGATGAAGTAGGTGTGGCCTTGATGAAGTAGTTGTGGCCTTGATGAAGTAGGTGTGGCTTTGTTGAAGTGGGTGTGGCCTTGTTGAAGTAGGTGTGGCTTTGTTAAAGTAGTTGTGGCTTTATTGAAGTAGGTGTGGCCTTGTTGAAGCAGGTGTGGCCTTGATGAAGTAGGTGTGGCTTTGTTGAAGTGGGTGTGGCCTTGTTGACATAGGTGTGGCTTTGTTAAAGTAGTTGTGGCCTTGTTGAAGTAGGTGTGGCTTTGTTAAAGTAGTTTTGTTGAAGTAGGTGTGGCTTTGTTGAAGTGGGTGTGACCTTGTTGGAAGACTGGGAGTGGCTTTGAGGTCTTCAACCGCTCAAGGCAAGCCCAGTGTGTCTCCTTCTCCCTGCTGCCTTTGTATCTGGATGGAGATCTCAGCTACCTCTCCAGCACCATATCTGCCCGCGTGCTGCCATGCTTCCCACTGTGCTGATAATGGACTAAACCTCTGGAACTGCAGCAAGCTCCAGTTACATGCTTTCTTTTTATGAAACTTGCTGTGCTCATGGTGCGTCTTCACAACAATAGAGCACTGACCAGGACATGGGGTGTGTGAGAAACCCCCCCCAGCAAACAGCGGTGCCCTCTGCTCAGGGAACACCATCGTGCTCATCCCTTACCCCAGCCCTAAGATTTAGAAGTAGGACTTGATGTCCAATGAACAGGCTTGTAGCATCTGCTCTGTCTGTGTGGGGGAAGGACTGATGGGCCCCAAGAAGGCCATGACTATGAATTTGTATAGTGAGGCTGTTTCCTTCTGGTTGGACATGACCATCATCATGTTTGAGTAGCTACAATGAAGCATATGAGACATCTTGAAAGTGAGCATTCTCTCTCATGGCGGGAGCTGGAGAGTTCACAACAGTCATGAGCTCTCCTGGGCTCCTCAGGTGGGCCCCTGTGTCCTGATATTATTTAGAAGGCAGCTAGTTGACTGGGGGTGGGATTCCGCAGGTGTGAGGCTATCTGAGTGTCATCTGTGCTCATGGAACGAACCCCAATAAACTCACTGGTTCACGTGTTGATTTAGATGGAGAGCCAACTTGACAGGGCCTCGAATCACCCAGGAGACAAACCTAGCTGTGAGAGTTTCTACGTTAGGTTGAGAAGACCCAGCCTCACTGTGGGTGACACCATGCCATGGCTGGGGAGAAAGCACGCCGGGCCCAGCGTCCACCTCCCTCTGCTTCCTGACACTCCTGCTGCCATGCCTTCCCACCGTGACGGACTGTGCCCCCTCAGACTGTGAGCCAAATAACCCCTGCTAAGTTGCCCTCTCGGGCATTTTCACAGCGATGAGAGAAGGAATGCAGTCCATCGCCTGACTGGAACCTGTCTAGGGCTCTGTGGGTTCCCCCCTATCCGTGTGAGCAGACGTGCTTCCATCTCCCAGGAAAAGCTGTGCAACCTCATCTACAGTGGGCTCTCTGCCATCGGCTCTGCACATCGCTGGGTGGCCGTGAAACCAAAACGAGAGGAGGAGTCAGAAGGCTCACGAAGCAACTACCTCGGCCGCTGCTTGGAAGCAAACGTGGCACTGACCTCTGATTCCGACCCGTCCACCGACTTCTCCTTCAGGTTCACACCCTCGGTCAGCACGGCGCCGTTGTACTTGTTGCAGAGGTCCTCGTCGGAGTAGTGCAGACCTCCGGGGCTTGGTCGGGGTGGGGACCTAAAAAACGGTGATGCCACAGGTTACTCTGGACAAAGGACGCTCCCCCGGGGATGGGGCTCCAGCAAGCATGCTGTCTGGCCTTGCTCCCATGGGAATAGGAGGATAACACTCCAGTGGCTACCAGCATTGGCTATCTGTGATTCCACAGCCTGCAGGCTTCAGGTACCGTGCAAGGCCGGGGCACCAGGGACAAACTGTCCTGACCAAGAGAATCTCTCAACAAGAAGGGCACGTGAGGTCTGGGCCAGCAGGAGGTGCAGGGCTCATGGAACTCTGGGAGACATGGCAGGCTGGAGTACACAGCCAGGGCTTAGGACAAATCTGGCTGCGGCCCAGGACACAAAGCTGGGCCCCCAGGGCAAGGAGGCTTTGAGGCATTAGCTCTTACTCATTGACAGAACCCTCAGCTCAATCACCACTCCCTGTACTAGCCAAGATGTAACCGTAGGCAGAGCAGAGACTGTCTGGTTTGTAACTGTGGGCTAGGGATGACTGTGACGCAGAAAGGGTGGGGCTGTCATTTCCATTCGTCACCATCACATGACCACATGACATTGTATGAAGGAGGCCATCTTGGCCAGCTGGAGATAGAACATGAAGCAAAGCCGCCCCTTTTGTGTGTATTGTGTATGTGTGCACATATACATATCTGTATATCTGCATGTACACGCATGCGTTTGGAGGTCACACGTTGATGTCAAGTGTTTTCCTCAGTAGTTCTCCACTTTGTTTATGAGGCACGGTCTCTCCCTGAACCTACAGCTCACTGATTCAGCTACTCTTAAAACAAAGCTCAAACTGTTTTAAGTAAGTTTGTCATTTCTTGTTGGTCTTCCTCCGAAGCTGTCCTCAGTGGCATGCAGACCTCTGGTGAAAAATGAGGCAGACCAGAAAGGCACTCCTGCTGGCTTTGCAGGAAGAGACACATGCCCTGAGTGCCCTCAGGGAGCAGGGGGCAGGGGGTAGACCCCACTCAGTGGCAGGAAGAACCCGCCCTAAGTCATGGGGGCCACACAGATGCAGTCTACCAAGAACTGGAGGGAGCTGGAAGAGAATTCTTCCAAGAGCCCATCAGAAGCCTGGTAACAGGAGGAATATAGCCATGGGCGGCCCTTTCAGGTGACCTGTGAGATGCATGTTTTTATGCTTATTTGTCACACGGCAATGGGAAACAAACACACCCTTCACTTTACAACTTTCTGTCTTGTTTTTTATTATTAAAAACATATTTTTGTGTTTATTATGTGCACGTGTCTGCATGTGTGTGTGTGTGCACGCACGTACGAACATACGGAAGCCTTCGGGAGTCTTCCTCCCTTGCTGTCACTGCCTGTACTGAGCTAAGGCCTCTCAGCTGAACGCAGAGCTCACCGATAAGGCTAGTCTGGCTGGCTAGCTTGCTCCAGGGGTCCCCTGACTCTGCCTCCAGAGACCTGGAGCTGCAGGTAGGCCACCGTTCTGCCCGGCACTAACATGGTTTCTGGGGAGCACCTAAATCCAGTCTTCCTGCTTTCCTGACAGCTGCTCTACTGCTCAGCCATCTCTCCGGCTCCCCTGGTCTGTTCGCTTTTTTAGATGGAGAAATCTTAACTGCGGACGAACCGTTAAATGAGTACGGATGCAGCACACCTTTTTTGTCCTGTGGTGTTCAGGGGTCCCTGCGACTGTGGAATCTGTATGGTCAGTATCTGTGGATGGGGTGGGCAGGACATCCCAGACACCTGGCATTCAGTGGCTCGGCACAGCCTCCTACCTGGTTCCGTTCTTTTTGGAGAAGGTGCTCTTGACATTGAGGTGGCGGCTGTTGAGCTCCAAGGCGGCAAACCCTCCGTTGTCCAGGGTCACCGACTCTTCCATGTTGGAGATGCCTTTACCTAGAGCCGAAGGGGAGAAGCCAGCAGAGTCTTAGTTAGGAGTTTGCTGCAGTGACACCGGGGAGGGTCAGCCAACACCACAAGCTCCTGAGTTCCTGTCACAATGTGACCCCCCCAGAACCATATGGCATCAGCCTCAGCTGGAGAGGCAGCCGGAGCTGAGCTGGGAAGCAAAGCTACGGCTCTGCACTGCAATGCCAGAGCCAAACAGCAATACTAGCATCGCAGTGTTTATCATGCCTGCTGCCAAAAGGCCAGTATCCTTGCCAACATTTCATGAAAATGTGCTCAGGATGCATACCCTTATTAATAGTCAGGGAAGTCAAATGTTTCACAAATAACACACTTAAAAAGCTCACAAGCATGTAACAGAATTGGAGGCAAAAAAAAAACCACCCTTGTGTGGGTAATATAGGTAAAGAAAGAGCTTCCTTTAGCGGTGATAAAGATGTCCCAGATGGATGGTGGAATGGCTGCACGTGGCTCTGCATTAACCGCTGGACTGTAGGCTTTTAAGTGTGCACCTGTGACGGTTAAACTTTAAAAGTTATTTCATTTATTTGGTGTGTTCCTGTGGGTGTGTATGCCACAGCACCTGTGTGGAGGTCAGAGGACAACATTCAGGAGCTGAGTCTCCTCCTACCAGCCAGGTCCTGGGGATTAAACACAGGTCTTCAGGCTTGGCAGCAGGTGCCTTTACCCGCTGAGCCATCTCTCCAGCCCTATGTGATGGTTCAGTTCTGATGGACAATTTGTTGGAATTCAGAATTGCACAGGAGATAAACCTCTGGTAATGCCTGCGGAGGGTTTCCCACATTAGGCTAACACTTACTCAGCTCCTGGGTTATAGACATGGGCATTGCCATGCCTTAGATTTTTACATGGGTGCTGGGGATTTGAACTTAGAACTTTGTGCTTGCGCAGCAGGCACTCTTACTCACTGAGCCCCCACCTGGAAGGCCTGTGCTGGCACAGGTGCTTGGTATTCAGATTCTGTCTTCTACCTTTGCAGTGTAGGCTGAGAGAGTCTTTCAGGGTGAGGATTTTATCCGGCATGCTCCCAGCTATCCTGCTGCCCCAGGACAGGTCACACACCCTGCCCGCCCAAGACCCGGTAAGGTGTGTGATCACTTTGAGAGGGTTCCCTGCAATGGGCACCTTGCCCCTTCATGCGGCAGGATGCTGAGATGGAGAAGCCTGTAGACCCTGTGCAGTAAATCGCTGGTACGTTTATCTCTGCTCAGGGATGTGGTGTGATGGATGCTGGGCGGGTGAGAACAAAGTGAGAGGGGCTAGCAAGCTCTTGCCAGGAGACAACCAAGAACACGAAAAGGCTCAAGTGCCCCCAAGTCACCTTCTGGGAGACAAGCCCCCCCCCTCAGGCTTCAATTATGCTGAATTAACTCCCTAGGGGAGGCTTGGTGCTGGAAGCAGCAGTCTGATGTGTCTTTTCTAGTCTGTTTTCCAGATGGAGGAGGGAATGTGTGTACACGCACACACACGCGCACACACACGGAGACTTTATGCTGTTCTGTAACCGCATTAACTCACTAAAATGGCATGTCATTCATACACTGTAAATCCCACGGGAATAAAATCTGATTTACGAACACTTGTTAGAAGTGAATTTACGCGGAAAAGAAAAAAGGATAAACCCTTTCTTTTCAGGGATGGATCGCTAACGTTCTGGCAATTTAGGCATTCCATCTTATTAACCTCTCTGGCACAAGGATCTGCGGTTTCAATGGCCGGGAGGGGTCCCTGGGGTCCTGCTTTTGTGCTCCCCAGCAATCCACCTGTCTCCACCTCCTCACCTTGGGGATTACAAGCTCTGTAGCATCAAGCCTAGCTTTTTTCTGTGTGAGTGCTGGGGATCCGACTCTTTTCTTCACGTCCACATGGTCAGTTCCTTATCAACTGAGTCACTTCCCTGTCCCTGTTCTGTTCTCTGGCTCAGCCATAGCTTTGATAACCACAGCAAGCGGGGGCCTGGGGGGAGCAGAAGGCCACAGACGTCCAGCTGTTCTGTGGTTATGGTGAGAAGCGGTCTTGCTGGTGGTTACGGGGCTTTTAAAAACTGAGGACAATAAAAAGCATTAACCTGAAGGGTGTGCAATGAGCCCTCTCATCTCCGGGAGCCACCGCCTCTGCGCAGGTGCAGAGCATCCATGAGGGTGAATCTCACACCGCTCTCTCTGCTCCTCTCCCCAGAGATGCGACCACAGCTGTGCCCTCAAGAGGCATGCTTCCGCTTTGCTTTCTCCTGACCTCTGTGCCTAAGAAGGCACGCCACATGCGCGTTCCCTTGCCTGGCTTCCCTGCCTCCCCCCCCCCCCCCCCCCCCCCATGTTCATCTCTCTAACGATGGTGATCCGTTCAGAAGCGCACATGGGCTGTTGGAGCACTGGCTCAAGGCTGAGCGTGGAGCCCTGCCGGAGCGACCCTCAGAGGGGTCAGAGCTGGAGTAGGCTGTGTGGAGGGAATGGAAAGTGTGGTCCAGGCTCAAGCACACGAGAAAGGCTACACTATAGGAGCATTCCCATCACGCTCGGGAGCTACCCTACATTCCCGAGGTGCGCCAGCTCATCCCACCCTCTTGTCAGAAATGATTCTCTACTGGCTTAACTCTCTTCCTTTCTAGCCTTGTTTTAACCAGGAGCATATAAGAGCAATGGGGTGTGGGAAGGAAGATTCGGGGAGCCCAGCAACTCCAATGCAGTGGCCAAGACGAATGGCTAATACAAGAGGCAGAAACTGTATCATTGGGCCTGAAGCTCTTCTTTTGCTTTGGTAGTGCTGGGGATGGGTGAGTACTCTACCACTGAGCCACACCCCAGCCCCTCACTGGCAGGTGCTCTACCACTGAAGCATTCATTTCCCTAATATTTACGCACTGTTAAAGGAGATCCTGGCAGATTCAGCAGAGAAAGCAAATGTCAGCTCTCATGCCCAAATGCCAGCTCACTGTGGAGAGACAGAGAGAGATGTCACACCTGTGCCGCAGTTCTTGTACTTCTTGCTTTGCCCGTGCAGGACCAGTGCGAAGACCACCAGGAGGACAAGGAGGAGGCTGGAGAGTGCCATCACCAGTAGGAACCACCACTCCTCATAGAACGGGGCTTCGGCTTGTGCTGTGGGAAAGACCACATGAGATGAGGCTCAGCGGTGGCAGCAGCCAGCATCTCCCCAGAACCTGGCAGCGGGGAAGAGAAGCAGTTGTGGTGGCTCCCACAGCTCCGCAAATACTCTCTGGGACTCCCAGAAGCTCCACAGCAGGTTTGGGAATCTACCCTTAGGAGTTTTTCTGCCTTCTCTAGAGTCAAGTTTGGGGATCTGTTGACTTTCAACTTGGCAGGATCTAGAATCACTGGGTGCCATCATGGGTTATCAGGTTGGTCAGGTTACGTGATGTTAACTATGGGTGGTGGCTGGGGCCCTAGGCTATATGTGGTGGCTTGAATAAAATAGGCCCCTACAGGCCCACGGGGAGAGGAGGTGTGGCCTTGTTGCCTCCAGTGAGTGTGTCACCGTGGGGGGCGGACTTTGAGGTCTCAGGTGCTCAAGCCAGGCCCAGTGTCTCACCGTCTCTTCCTCACCGTCTGCAGCCTGCAGATCCAGACGTAGAACTCTCAGCTACCTCTGCAGCACCATGTCTGCCTGCGTGCCACCATGCTTCCATGGCAATGATGGTAGTGGACTCAACTTCTGAACTGTAAGCCAGCCCCAATTAAACGTTTTCCCTTGATAAGAGTTGCTGTGGTCATGGTGTCTCTTCACAGCAATAAAGCCCTAACTAAGACACTATATGAGTGAGGAAAGGGAGCTGAGTGTATATTCGTTGCATTCTGCTTCCTGGTTGTGACCAGCTGCCTCAAGCTCTGCTTCCTTGACTTCTCCACCATGACAAACTGTATGTGAGCCAGAGCAAACTGTTTCTCCCTTAAGTTGCTTTCGTCAGGGTACTGTATCATGGCAACAGGAAGAGAAACTAAGACAGCATGGATGTATACCAGACCATCCTCTCCCTGCCCTTACCTACGAGAACAACCTCCATGCCCCTGTAATCCCAGCCTCCTAGAAACACTGACTTAGAGGGTGGCCCTGCTTGCCCGTCCCCGGCTCAACCTTCCCTCAAGCGATGCTTTGTTTTTTGCTTCGTAACACCTGTTCTCTCCATGGCAATCCGGTTCCAACCATCTTCCTCTTTTTCTCCTGCCTCCTCACACCCATCTTTTGACAGTGTCACTGGAGAAGCCCGCCCAGGTAGAACTACCAAGCCCTCCCCGTATCTCCTCTACTGGTTCCCATTGGTGATGAACGAGGGCTCTGGATTTGAGATGTATGGGCTCAGATGCCTCCTGGGCATCTATAGCTAACCTGCTGGTTTCCTCTACTTCAGGAGCCCCTGAAGTCTGGAGCTGTGAGCTGTTTATTTTACGTCTGTAGCAAAACTGAGCTGGACTGCATACATTCTTCCTGTCTGAACTTGCCTTTGAGACATCTATTCAAAAATGGTTCATGGAAAAGCTGCTCTGGCAAAGGGTGCGTGTCTTCCTTCCTGCTTATTCTATTCTGTTCACTAAGAGAGGAAAATGGGGAAGATGTCTTCTCCACAGGAGCCGGACAGCCCAAAGCCCCACTCCTGCCTTTCAGGGGTCTCCCTGTGTGGGAGCTGGTTAAATGGCTCAGAGGGCCCTGGGGGAGGAGCCTCTTACAGGCAGAGCTGGGGGTCTGCCTCCAGCTGCCCAAACCTGCAGAAAACACATCCACTTTCACATTAAGTATCCCACTGGCTGGATCACGAATGAGCGCATGCTGGGAATAAAGGGGAAATTGGCTCTGGATAATAGTACACCACAGGGTTTCTCGGGCGATGACAGTGTTTTGAATCCAAAGGATGTAAGTGGGGTGTCTGGCTGTGCATTCAGTATCCCATGGAGCAAGTGCTGTGACTCTCCCGCTGGCCGCCCAGGAGTACTGGCCTGTTCTTCCACTTGGCAGGGAGAACAGCTGTCCTGGGGGAGTTCTCGCCCCGGGGCTCGGGTCCTGATGCGAGGCCAGTGGGTGATGGTGGCTAGCATTTCTGGATTGAGTCATGAATTGGCTGCAGTGCAAATGGCAGCCACGGCTGGTTTGGACGCTGTGGTAGCTGGGAAGCATTCGTTGCTGATGCCCCATGGTGGAGACGCCATGGGCGTGTGCGTGTACATGGGCACGAGTGTGTGTGTGTGTGTGTGTGTGTGTGTGTGTGTGTGTTGGGCAGAGGCCAACCTCATGTGTCATCCTCACAAACACCACTCACCTCCTTTTAGACAGGGTCCCTCTCTGCCCCGGAGCTCACTGATCAGGCCCCAAGGATCCTTCCTCTGCCTCTGCAGAGCTGAGACTTTGAGTGCATGCCACCATGCCTGGTCTTTTGTTGTGGGTCCTGATACAGCCTGGTTTGGAAATCCCTGTCTGTTCAGGGTCCTCACCAGTGGCTGAGTGTCTGGGGTTCGGCTGGAGAAAAGCAGGCCCAGGGAGTTGTTGCATAGAATGGACTGTCTACACTGTGGCCCCTGCTGCAGTCTCCTCCTCCACCTACCCAGAGGGCACGCCAGCCCCTCAGCACCTACCCTCTCCTCTCACAGATGGGTGGGTGCCTCTGCTTTATACGTCTGTCTTTTGAAAAAATGACATCAGGCTGGAGAGGTGGCTCAGCCATTAAGAGCACTGTCTAAACTTCAGAGGTCCTGAGTTCAATTCCCAGCACCCACATGATGGCTCACAGCCATCTGTGCCCTCTACTGCCCCCTTCTGGCCTGCAGGTGCAATGCTGATAGAACACACACACACACACACACACACACACACACACACACACACACACA